TCTGAGGGAGTGGATATGAATGTGCCTTGAACACAAAGCTCTGTAAATGAGTGGTGTATTTTTTTATTCCAATAAATTGTGAGGACCACAGGAATCCTGTGAAACCAGTCAGATTTCTGATGACACAGTGCCTGGTGGAAGACCCAAGTTGCTGATAATTAAGGATGATAATGAATAACATGTGTGATGTCGTTTTAAAGACTGAGGTCTCAGGTTCAAATCAGACAGACTCAGGTATACCGGTAAGTCTTCATGCTAACGTTTATTGTCTATGACCTTGGGCAAATTACTGATCCTTTGTAAGTTCCAGTTTCCTCATCTGTAAGCTAGGAAGAATAATTCCTCATCGGAATGTCATGCAGTTTAAATGAGATCACATAAAGAATTTCACATGGTGCAAGGCACATGGTGGTCCTTGCATAAATAGCTGTCATTGGCTGTAAGGGAAATGGACAATTTTTCTTGGAAACAGGTGAAACGTGAAAGAGAATGAAAATGTATGTAGTGAAAGCATGTATAATAAATGGAACACAATAGAAAGACGTATGTAAAGAGTATGTAATATAATGAAAGAGATCATGAAAATGCATGTAAATGAAAGTGTATGCAAGGGGTTCTTTTAGAAGACTGAGAAGGAAACAGTGGAAAACTTAACACAGTGTTTTGGGTGTAAATTCTGACGACTTGGAAAGGAGACCCTGGAAGCCCCTCCCTTCCAGGAAGACAGCAAACTAGACCTTCCTGGAGCCCAGCCACCTGCACCCCTGGACCTGGAGGTGCTCCAGAGGTGCTTCTCATAAGTGCGGAAGCACTTATGAAAAGTTCTTTTGAAAGCAGCCTGCTCCTTCCACGAAAAGCCACACGTGTGTGGGTTTGAATTTCTTCCCCAAGCTCAGCCCAGCAGGTGAAGCAAACCCAGGGCTTATGGCCTGAGTCTGGTGCACTTTGCTCTTTGTCCCAGCCTGGATCCTTGAGGAGGTGACTGAGGACACCTTGTGTCTTGCCCTGTATCATCTCCAGTGATGCCTGTCCCCCTTTCACTCTGAGAGAATAACCGGTTCTGGAGAAGCACTGATCCTATCGCCTTCAGAGAACTTGACTAATATTATACCATTTGGGACCTGCTCTGGAGGCCTCCTGTCAGACTGGTAAGAGGTGTGAGGTTGGTCACTTGCTCCTGGAAATGAGTGTTGGAAATGGCTTCTGCCCCAAGGAGAAAGCCCCTAAGGCAAGTTGGATGAAGACTGGCCAAGAGGTGAATATAAAGATTCAGAGAATAAATAAGCATCAAATTCAGGGAACCAGAGCCAGTGTGGTTGGAAGCAAGGAAACACGGAGCAGCTTGAATGAGAGAAGGGACCAAGGAAGTGAGCTCTGGCTGCAGGCCATGCCTGCTTCCCTTCTGTAGAATAAGGGGAGTTTGTGTGGGGTCTTCTCTGCTTTTAAGCTCCTCCCAGACTGCCCAGCACAGCCAGGGCTGTGGGAAAAATTGAGAGAGTTCTTCCCAACAGCGTGCGGTGAGACCTTCCAGGCTTCTCGGGAATTTGGATTAAAGTCCCCAACAGAAGAACTGTTCAGTTTAAGAACAAATGAGGGGTCATTTGTTCTTAAACTGAATAACTTCCTTCGAGGGCTTTTCCAGGCTGAAGAATGTATGATTCTGCACTTCTATGAGCTAACAGAACTTCCTCTTAGTAAGGAGAGAGGGGAAATGGACCAACATTGACTGAAGAGGAAATTCTTTTGAACTGTGTTTTCCCAACTTTGTAAATAGCTGTAGTCGAAGAGTCTGCCCTGTCTTTCCCCCAAATCTCCATCACTCCCCATCCACCCCCGTGTGCACACTATCACAGAATACATACAATCTCTAGGAATGGTGGGTCACACAACAGAGCTTACACTGATCTGCTGGTGGAAGCTCTCTTGAGCCCTGCATGTGAACAGCAGGAGAAAGGGTGCTGTGGGCTATGCTCACCTGGGGCAGCACCCTGGTAACCAAGTGAGGCAGGTTCAAGCAGTTAGGGCTGATTTTATCAAGCCCGAACGTAGAGTACACTAAGTGGGAGGCATGACTCATCTGTTTCCTGTCATGCTCATGAGTTTGGGGCTTTCTTTTAAAGCAAATCCACAATTTAAAATTAAATGTATCTTTATTAATGACCCACAGCACCTTTCCTCACTAAAAGCTTGATCTTAACTTCACCTAGCTTCCATAAACATTCAAAACCAGGGTTGGGGGGGTCCAACAAACAGTTACAAGGAAGAGTTGGGTCACCTGAAATTAAGTGTTTTAAAAAGATAGTGGTGGGCTGGCTGAGTGGTGCAATGGTTAGGAACTGGCTTGGGACGCCAGAGGGCCCCAGTTCGGATCCCACAAGGGCCAGTGACACTGCCCTCTACAAAAAAAAAAAAAAGATAATGGTGGCATGCGTCAGAAGGAACAAGAGGAATGCAGAGACCTGATTGAAGGCATTTCTTGTAGTCATCATTTTTTCAAGAAACATAGTACTAAGCACCTACTATGTGCCAGACGTGTTGCATAGCCCTAGGTCCAGGGTGGTGAACAAAAAGATTCATGGAGGGAACCATCTGGTTATGAACATAAACATCAAGCTAATAAACAGACTAACAAATATATTATGACCGTCAGTGATAAGTGCCGTGAAAGAACCTAATATTCCACACAAGAGATGGAGGCAGGAGGCAGTGTGAAAGAGAAAACCACAGACCCAAAGTGACACACCTGTGCTAAAGTCCAGGCTACCAAACCTGGATGTAATACCTGACCTAATTGCTTTCTCAACTTCTCCCAAAACATAATCAGCCTGGAATTTTCTGGTCAGGCACCAGAAAGGTAATCTCTCATGTGGGTCCTCTCCATCCCCACCCCCCAGAGAAAGAAGAGGCAATCTGCATGATAAGAACCCTTGCCATTTTCTTCCCCCCCAGAAGAAGATGTCCTGGTCCAAAATACAGCCCTTTCTTTTGTTAATAGCTCCCTTGCCCTATGATTCTTCTATAGAAGCCTTCCATTTTGTACAGCTCCTCAGACCACCCTTTTAGTTGCTAGATAGGATGCCACCCAATTCATGAATCGCTTAATAAAGCCAATTACATCTTCAAATTTACTCAGTTGAATTTTTTTTTTTAAATAGAAAACCTAAGTAGAAGGCTGTCTTAATCAGCTTGAGCTGCCATAACAACAGACTTATACAGTAGACATTATTTCTCACAGTTCTGGAGTCTGGGCAGTGCAAGATCAAGGTGCCAGACAATTCACTTCTTGGTGAGGGCTCTATTCTTGGCTTACAGATGGCCCCCTTCTCCATTTGTCCTCACATGGCAAAGGGAGGTAGTTAAGAAAGGGGAGGGGCCAGCCGACTAGCTTAGTTGGTTAAGAGTTGGCTCAAGAGCGCAAGCTCTGAGCAATGGGGCCACCAGTTCGATTCCCACATGGGCCAGTGAGGTTGCACCTGAGCTGAGCTGTTGCTGAGTGGCCAACAGATGGCAGGATGGCTCAGCTGGTGTAATTGCCTGTTCGATGCTGGGCTATGCCCACCCGCAACTAAGACTGAACTTGGCAACTTGAGCTGAGCTGCCGCCCAGATGGCTTAATGGATAGAGCGTGTGCTCTTAACAACAAGGCTGCCAGGTTCGAATCCTGCATAGGATAGTGGCTACACCCACCCGCAGCTAAGATTGAACACAGCTCCTTGAGCTTAGAGGCCACGAGCTGCTGACGGAAAGCCAGATGGTGACTGGCGCCCTCCACAACGAAGATAGAAGAACAACAATTTGGCTGGCCCCCTTCCCCAGTTCCCCAACACTGTTCTCTTCCCCCAATTCCCCAATAAAAATCTTTGAAAAAGAAAGGAAAAGAAAGGGGAGAAGAGGGAGACAGTAGGGGAGAGGGGGAGAGGGAGATGGGGAAAGAGGGAGCATATACGAGCATGCATGAGCACGAAGAGGGAGAGAATGCACTATGTATGGTCTCCCCCTTTTTATAAGGGCACTAATCCCATCCTAGGGGCCCCATCCTCATGACTCATCTAACCTTAATCACCTCCCAAAGGCCCCACCTCCTAATACTATCACATTAGGGGTTAGGGCTTTAGCATATGAATTTGGTGGGGGACATAAACATTCAGTTCATAACAGAAGCTTAAATAATAATCCAACTAAATGACAACACTGAGCAGGGGCAGTGGGAATGGACGGAAAGTGACAAACATTTGATGG